CCGCTTAAAGCGCGAAATTAAACGAATTTCAAGATAACATCCTCAGCATGTTTTTTTCCCGCTTCTTCGCGAAAGTATTCCTGAATTTCGAGATGCATTACGCTGATGAAAAGTTAATTTCAACCTGTCGAAGGACGCGACGACGAGGACCGACCGTACGGTAAAACAGTTTTCCGCATTTTCGTCAGGTTGATCTGCGTCGGGCATCATTATCCGGCGCTCTGCACCTGTGACGCTCCGTCGTCCTTTTTTTTTCGCCAGCCTGCCCGGTTCTTCGAGCGGGAAATTTCAGTATAAATCCTCACAGTCCCGAATTCCATTCCGATCGACTCCACCGTTTAAATTCGAATTTCGGCATCGCACCGCCCCGCTAATCGTTAAATGTCATTTCGGACACTCCGTGATTGCCATGGGAATACTATGGGTATGTCTATCTATCTATTTCTCTTCGTTTTTCGTTTCTCTCTGTGCCCCGTTCGTAATTTTATTCTTTTTCGCTTCGGCTAATTGTATGGATATACATCCTTGTGTGTGATACATGTATATATAACAGAACTTAATCTTTTTTATTGTTGAAAATATAAAGAATATAATTTTAATACACAGTGATAATTTTTAGAAATTTTGTAACTCCAAATGTATCCTATTTCGATTGTTACATTTTAATTATTCATTTCTGCAATATTTTAATTTCATAATATTTATTTATTCATTTATGAATGCGAAAATCCTTTTCGTACAGATATTTAAACATGCCACATATCAGTAATAAAAATATTATTATTAACTTTTGTCTGCTGTGTTAATAATTTAATACATTATAATTGTGGTTCTACAAAGGAAAGTCAGAAGATAAAGCAACTTTTTTAAAAAAGATTTAAAAAAATATCTCTACTCTTTGACTCTCCTTAATATTCTTCTCGCCATGTTTACAATAATTAGCCCCGCTTGCAGAAATTATGCCTTTGATCCGTCGAAAAACTGACATTAATGCGTATATATAATAGGATGATAATAAATACAGTGCTTGAAATCAAACGCGAAATCCTCTCCTTTCCGAAGTGAATTTCAGATACCGCACTGACCGCAACCGACCAGTTTCCGCCACGCTTTCAGTGAGAGACGCGCAAAAGCACTTCCGGCTTGGACGGAACGGAGCGAATACCGCCGTGTGGCTTAATCCGGTTTAATACCGCGCGCAAAAATACGACGAGCATTAGCGGGGGCATTATACAAATTTCATCGCGATCGTCGTTTACCGTTGATGATACGCACCGGCACGACGGCGGTGGTGGCGACGACGGCGTCATAACTGCGTTACAGCACTTTTTATACATACTGAAATTGCTTTCGTTGCGGCGCAATCCCTTTCAGACCGCTTTCTTTTCGTCCTTTTTTCTGAAACTCGTATTCCGAATGAAAAATATTTTCTCTGCGTCTCGCTGAAGCCCGAAACTGCGCAACGCGATTATTTTAAAATTAATACATGTATGATGAACCAAACTTCAATATTACATACAATACCAAATTCTCTGGCATATCCATATTATAATCATAGGTATTAATTATTTTTATGAAACGCATTAATCCATTGCGTAAGATAAAATATTCTATTGAGGTTTAATTAACGATGATATATTATAAAGGCAGTAAAGTTAACATGTGTCACAGGTAGTGAAATTAATTATCAGTTATAAAAATAAACGCGATGTATTACTGCAAATGTGGATTATCAATGAAGACAAAAGAGAATAATAAAATCGCATTATAATTTCATTTAATTTCAAGCATCAATAATATTATGCTGATAAAATATCGTTTCACCGAGTTTATTGGCAATGGTCTCTCTTTACCCGTATCGTCCTCACTTCTCTATCTCCGAGCTGCGCCAACATCGCTTCACAAAGAAAAAGCGCCTATTCGACGACACGCGAATAAAAAGCAGGGAAATCTGTGTCTTTGAACAAGGATTCGATAACATGGTTTGTCGCTAAAGGGCATTGATAACCGTCGCCAGACTGCGCCGTCTGGCTGTGCATCGATCGAAGTCACTGTAGTTGCGCCTGGAAAATCTGTACAAGTCGCACGTTCACTTATTCACATTTTTTACCTGTTTTCTTCGTTTTTATACCGCAAAAGCGAGCATAGACACTTATTTCTATTCAGTTTTTCACTCTATTTACAGTCCCTAATAACGGTCAGGAATATTGGGCGAACAAATATTACGTATCGAAAATAGTATCGTTTTTTCTGTTTAAAAAAACTATGCTACGTTGTTACTAGGCTATATTAAAATAAAGCGCACTCGCGTCGCGATGCTAATAAGCTCCGAGACGCGAAACCGCTCTATTCGCTAACCCGTCCCGTAATATTCTGTATTTCATATGTCGCAGATCTGGCGTCTGTTATACGGCGCGTCGGGCGACATATTAAACGCTGTAGGCGTTTTCCGTGCGGCACGACGCGTCAAAGATAATCAGGTCGCGTCGTGTTTTCGATAAACTTCACCGTGACGCAATTATCCCGCACGGTTTTCAGTCGCGGTGCGGTATGTTCACCGAGTAAATAGCAGTTGGTAACGTGTTTAACTATCAAGCAAGAATCCTATCCATAAGCGATGCTCGCGAATAAATACCGGATGCTTCCGTTTCGTATGTGTTTGCCCAAATTTTGCACATATTATATATCATAATCTATTATGTCAGAGAGATAATATAATGATGTTTTTACACATAATTAATGCTCAATAATCATCTAATAATTTTAACTTGTATGATATAAAAAAGTAATATATCTAAAGCAATATACCTGATCATTACATTGATTTCTTTGTGTTATATGATTATTAGAAAATACTTTCATGATGTTTATAGTGTAGAGGTATCGTTTTCAATACAAAGATATACAATACATGATATTTCGCATTCTGGAGCAAGACAATTCGATTTAAATCAAAGGAATTGTAAGCGTGTCGTGTTCCAATTAAGTAAAGAATCTGTTATGCAAATCGAGAGCTATTGATTACGCCTTCGACCAAACGCCATGATGAAATTTACGACAAGTATTCGAGAGACGACGATAACGAAGCGTAACTTTAACTTCCTCAACGCGATTACTATGAATAATATATAGAAAACAGCTATTATATTTCAACGCGTTAAAGCAACTGACAGGAAACGTTTTAGAGAATTGGCATTTGTTTGTGCTACGTTTTCGTTTGTTGTAAATAAATTGCTACAGACGATTGTTGTAGACAAATTGTTACAGCGCTACGTTATTTCTCTTGCTTAATCAATATGATTTTGTTCAATTTAGTGAATATTCAAGTAATTTTAAAAACTTACTTTGATGTGTCCACAATATGCATAATAACCCTTCAAAACGTAATCCCTTGGTTGGTATTATTGATTCGTACTTTATGACGCGCTACATTAATTACCATTGATCAACTGTATTAACGAGGTGAAGATCAAACGGTCAATCTTATCAAACAAAAGGGCGCTCTATTCTAATTTCTCAAACGCATCTACAGAGAGACATCAGTTTTATTTACACGCGACATGAAGAGAAATATATTAGTAGCGAATGGGATTACCGTATGCACGTGAAAACATAATAAATCAAACGGTGATGGCGACGTCCTGTGCCATGCAGTCTGACAAAGAAATCTTTGCTAACAGCGCCTTATTATCATTCTCTGTCATGCGACATGAATATAATAGACGAGAACTTATTGAACGTTCCCTGTTGTACTTTTACCAGGAATTTTATATCATATCTTCGAAATCATGTGATCTGGGATGGAATACCACCGTCGTTTTTATTAACGCAAATCTTCCTCTTCATTTATCCTTCATATCGGAGTCGCTTTGTTTCGCGCGGTCATATTTTATGTCGGAAAAAAATTATACGAGCTCATACGAGATGTCACGGGTTTTCCTCGCTTTCATTCTTTTAGATATTTAAAACTAAGTTTGCATATATTTTTCTTAACAAAAATATCCATATTTTTACAAAGTAAGCGTCAGATAAATCGATAAAATAATAAAACTTTATTTTCCATATAATTTTAAATATTAAATTTTGGTAAATTATTAATAAGAATGATTGTTCCTTAAATTTGTTTCTTTAATTAAATAATAATAAATACACAAAATTTATAAACGATTAGATAACGTTTGACTATAAATCAAATATTAATTTCTCAAAGATATGAATCTTATCTGCTTGCTCATATCAAACTATAAAATTATTCATCATCTCTTATGTATCGATTTTCCTATACGTATTTACGATTCTAATAAATATTCACATTTGTGCTCGTATTTCCCGTATACAACTTACCCGACATCAAGCAAGAATGTTGTATCCATTTGTGAAAAATATCCATTCGTAGATACGTCGGATCGGTCCTGTGTGTATAAATATAAATGCGTGTTTTTCTACAGATCGTTTTTACACTCCATCCTAAAACAACGAAATTGTAAATCGATATTCGATAGCCAAGTTGCGATATGCCGCACGGCCTCTGGCCGAAATGCGACGCGACAGCCTTTGCCAAAACCGACGGATAGCCGTATCCGGTTGCCGAAAGGAAAAGCTTCTTCTGCAGTATACGATCTGCCAAAAATAACGCGCGGTATTTTCGGTATTTTTCTATTTCGCTCGCGAATACGAATTGCGCATCATTCACTTTTGAAGAGAGCTTCAAGCAAGACGAGATAATTTTTTTTATTCTGCGTATGTGAAATTTTTGTTTGAAGAAGAAAAAAAAATTATTAAAACCTATCCTACGTATATTATTGATTAAAACTGGTTTAATTTCGGAACTTGAATGAATGTATAAAATATACACGATCGTTCCTCGTAGCCAGAAAATTATGACTAAATATATATACAGTTTTGTACTAAATATTAGGAGTTAATTAAAATTCTCTATCGGAGATATACCCAAAATATGCGCAGCGAGATATTAATGAAATTCTAACTTATGATTTCAGTGCGAGAAGTTACGTTGTCCGAACTCAGGGACTCGATAGCGAGGTTACGGGACAGAGTGAAGCTAGTATGCAGGACGAGGGGCTCACCACCCCCGAAAGTACACTGGCTGAAGGACGGTGTACCACTGCACCCCCGAAGAGGCCTCAGGATTCAGCACAAACGGTGAGCCCAAATCGACTTTACCATTAATTCGCGGTGGTTTCCCCGACTCCTTCCTCTCGACGTCAGCTTTCGGCAACGGCACACTCCGTAATAACACTACTCAGACGACGACGAGCAGTTAATTCTAGATATCCGCAACAACGGAGAGTACATTGCTCCCGCAAATTCGCATAGCCCGCTTAACGCCCGCCCCAACAACTCTGAATGCTATCGGTACACTATTAGATGTGTCTATATGTCTCGAGAGTAGTTTTTGTAATTGTTATTAGACAGACTAGAATAAATTTGATCTAGATGTTTTTAGTGACGTCATATCGTTTAGAAGATATGTATTTTGTAATGGAATAATAATATAAGATAAAATAATGAATTGTAATTCACATATGAATGCAAGAAAATAATTTGTTGCGAAACTTATGAAGAATATAAATGCACAAAGACAGCTAATAAATATATAAATATATAAAACGGAATCACACAAGATTGTTGCAAGGAAAAATTTTTTAGATTTTGAATTAATTATAAACTAAATAAAAGATGGTAATAAATATTTCGCAAAGGTAAAAAGAAATAAGAATATTTAATATTTTAGAGAGAGAATTACGTTTTTAATCAAATTGAATCAAATTACTCGTACTAATTTGTGTACTGCTAATTTTTCAAAATAATTAACAATATCTATTAAGTAACGGTACTATCATTCACTTCGATACAGCGGCAATGTACAAACTGCTAGACGAATGCAGAGAATATCTTGGAACGGTTAAGATACAAGTCGTCACGAAAGTTAGGAAACTGCAAGAGTTAGGAAGAGAGCAATGTGTGCTTTTCTCACAGTTCGATGGATTTTAATGAGCTTTCGAACTCGAATTGCAAGTAGCGTAGCGACAACTTTTCTCGTGTTTAGCAACCTCGAAAACAGCACGTGTCCAATTTTCGCGCACTTAGCCGAATGAAATGCAAAAAGTAATCATCGTGAAAGTCGCAACGTATGTGTTGAAGAAACTTACAGGCATCATCACTTACGCTACTGTATTGCGATTCGAAAACAATATCTTAGTTTGAGTTAAGTGCGTTGCTAAAAGTTCTTGATTTTATTATAAAACTCTTATTTGCCTTCACACGAGTGGAAAAATCGCGCCGTGAACAGAAAATTTGCATTACAATATTATCTGGCGCGTTATTATGTATATTAAAAGGTGTTAAGGAGTCAAAGTAGAATTTTCGGCCAAATCCTAAATAGGGTTTTTTTTTTACGTGAAAATATTAATTACGTTTTTACTCCCGCAAGCTATTTACTAAAAAGCTGAAAAGTAATTACTTGGAATGTATACGGTTATGCGATACATTGATTATTTAGTCATTACTTTGCGCAGTAAACATGCTTGTTGCTTCCGGATTTATAATGACAGGCCTGGGAAGCTATAAAATAAATTTAATCAATTGTGTATCGATCGGAATCGTGCTCAACAAGTGCGCAGAAAATATAACGTACACTTATATCGCGTAGCGAACGTAATTACTATTACGGAATGTAACATCCGTTTCTAATCAATCATGACATTAGCTTAAGTTCATTGCGGCGTGATGTTTTTCATCTATCATAATCACAAGCGTGCTCGGTATAATCTCTAAAGCCTGCACGTCTACTTTCGATTCATTACACGACATTAATTACAATCATTGCGCGCGATTCAAACATTAGAAAAGTCCCGCGACGTCGCGTCATTAAATATGGATTAAACGCGAAGCTTTCAGTTTCTTGATATGAATTCATTAAATTACACTACTTTGCTAGCTGCTTCATTTTTCGGCTTTTTATCCACGTTGCGAGACAGCCCTGCTCATTAAACTGTTATAGAACATGACGTTTTCCCGAATGATTCGCGAGACGTCGATTTAATCGCATTTCGTGGATTATTCGCAATGATGATGAATAATGTTTATAGAAATTTACTCGCCCGCGAATTTCCATCGCACGTTAAGCTTCGCTCGCACATAAATGATCAATCATCATGAAATTTAATTATGATTGGTACACGTTGCTTTTTAATTTGCATTACTTATCAATGATAATCATCATCTTGAAAATGACGTAATCATGAGATGCGACATATTAGTTATCAAAAAATATAATCGTATCTATTTATCGATTTATTCTCGACATTAAGAAATTGATGCATTTCTGCAAGATACTGCAAAAGAATTATTAAACTAAGGTCAGTTATTTTTAATCTTCTTTTCCAAATAATTTTTTATGTGACAAAAGAACTGCAAAACATATTGAAACAATGCATTAATAATTTTAGATTTCACTGATAAAAAACACGATATATATTCATCTGTGTAATTTAGTCACTTTTAAATCTTTTGATCTAAAAGAAAATATTATTTATTGCACGCATATTTACAATCCAGGCTTAAGGCGGACTTACTCAGATATAAGTACAACATGTTTCACAGTAGGGGCCTGTACCGTATTAGGTTCTATATATTTACGAGAAGAGAGAACTTTTAACGAAAAGAAAATAAATCGAGAGGATATCCAGCCGCGATCGACGCTTCCGTGAAAACGTGCGGTGCCGCTCCGAGCAAAAAGAGAAAAGACAGCCGAGACGGGAGGAGAATTTCGGTTCGGAAAACTCGCCGGGGAGCTCTCCAGCTACTTCTCGTCGGCCATAATCTCGGGCGTGCCATAAATTTGTTTAGCGCGATGCACTTTTCCTCGGCGCGTAAGTCTTGGAATAATCTCGGAGCTGCCCATAAATTCGCCGCCGCTCGCCTTTCTCACCGGGCCACCCGTTATATTGCAGCCGCGATAGAAATGGACCACGTGGTGAGAGAGCCCTCTGAAGACGCTCTTACGCGGCGCGTGATCTCGCGCCGAAAACGCTAAGACGATTTGCACTTTGTAAATCTCGGCCGCCGAACCGCGATGCTTCCAATATCGGATTAGCTCTGTTTCTTGCCTTCGATATTTAAAACCCAAACATTAACACTTGCAAAAAAAAAATAGTAGCGAAATTTATATTGCATAATATTATTGACCATTTTTTATAACCGCATAATTTTTAACTAAACACTTAAATTGTGTTCCTAAAACACATTAATTAAACATTCTAATATTGTGCGAAAAATCAGGTATTTTATAATACGTAACTTTCTCTGTTTTTTTTTATCTAAAATTGCCGCATGATATCTCGTAAAAATCAATGAAGTATCGTGATGAATGTTCCTTGTCAGATCCGAACTCACAAAGACGCAAAGTTACGGCGTTCCGTTCCTATAAAGCAGTGGTTGTTGACGAGAGATTTAATTCCTCGAATTACGAAATGTCTCTTCCACGTTGTGACAGATTTTTAAAAGATACCTATACAGAATACTGTACATGAGATATCAATATTTTTACTAAAATGCGAAAATTGTCAAAAAGAACGCGCGGAAAATTTTTGAGAATATAAAACGCGCTCAAGAGGATTAAGAACCACTGCAGGAGGACATCGGAAGGAAGAGGCAAATCCGATAGTCGTAAACACATCCTTGCAGTGACGAGCATCATGCTGCCTCTTCGCTGTAGCGATCTTACGACGTCGTAGCGGTCGTGTCCTCGTGTCGAGAATGTTCTCTGTCGTAATTTCCAATTACTGTCTCCGCGATGAGATGACCGAGGAGTGTGTCTCGTGCCGGAACGCGCTGTCAATGTCATTCGCCTCGTAATCGTTACCGGATACAACGGGTGTCGTAAAATCGAACGTGCTCGCGCAATTTGATACGAGTCATATGCCCGCGGATCGCCTTTCTCGCTCCCGTTCGCGCGCCGTTCGACGGCCACTCCGCTCGCATAACCAACGAACGCCGACGTAAAACTGTCATCCGCCGCTTAAGCTTGTCTAGACTTGGCGGCGTGTATTTTATAGACGATCGTCCTGCCGGACGCGGAAATATATTCCCAGCTTTTGTGTCCGCGCGATATATCGGTAAATCTCTCCCGCTCTCTTTCTGATAGCTCTCGCGCGCCGTTTGGCAGGTATCGCCGTCGCCTTTGTCGAACGAGCAGCAGAGATATTGGAATTTCGAATGACGAACGCCGGTGCTTGGCTCGAAAATAAACTCGTAATCTTGTCAAATCACGCGATATATAAAAAAAAGAAAGAAAAAACGAATATACGAGGACGAGTCAAAAGAGACACGAGCTTTCTATTCATTTAGTTTCAAGAATAAAATAAAGCTGACAGAGCCATGTTTTGTTTTCGAAATACTGTCTACAGAAGATATACTTCCCGTGGGAAATTGAATTTTTATCTGCAGCAATTGTCATATTTTTGTTTTCCGAAACTCACATAGAAATATAAGTATTTACCTCGTATTTTGCAACTGCAAGAGAGGATAATAGAGAAATCGAGACTTGAAAAGTTGCTTTGCAAAGGATCAACATAAAAAAATATAGTTACATAAAATCTATTTATATAAATTTAAATTTAAATAAAAATTAAAAACAAACAATTTAAAAAAAAAAACATGAAAAATATAATAACATTGAAACAATAAAGCAAGATAAGCAAATTTAAAACTGTTGCACCGAAACGCAATACAATAAAAATACTTGAAATAGATTCAATGTAAGTGTATTCTGCTAGACAACAGTCATCGCGTATAACTATGTTAACATCAATAAGATCCTCCCGAAGTGATACGGAAATGAACACGAACTTCGGATGCATCGAAACCAAGGATTCGACAGCGTTCCTCGCGCGGTGGTTTAATGATTTCCACGAAATTAACTCTGAGGCATCGTGAGATCACGACGTAATGTCGTTCAAATCAAATCCCGAACTCCGTCGAATCGTATTCAACTTACACGAACCTGAATCGAACCCTCTCGAGGACACCAACATTCGCGGTGCCGCATTCGAAGGACTTATAGTTCGCTTTGACCATCAGGGAAAGCAGCTTTGATGTCGCGTGTAATGGAGTTTTACCTCGCAGTAAGGAACGGAAAG